GAAGGAAGGAAGGAAGGAAGGAAGGAAGGAAGGAAGGAAGGAAGGAAAATGTCATGCCCCCTGTCAGAGTCTGAATCTGAGGAGGAAGACAAACAGCCAACAGGGAGTGGGAGTGTGGCTCCGTTGGTTGTGGAGGAAACTGGGGAAGGGCAAAGTCTGGCTGGGCAGAGCAGGGGAGAGGTAGAACAAGGGAGAGGAGGTTCAGAGAAAGACCAAGGCCCACCCCCTCTTCATCCTAGGGCACGCAGGGAGGAATGAAGAGAGCAACGGGGGGTTGCGTGGCTTACGAGGAAGGAAAAGGCCCCGATTCCATTCACAAGGCACACCTGGGAATAGAGTTTAAAGGAGAGGCAGTTGGGAGAGGTGTTTCTTGGGAACAAATGTTGAGTTTATCTTGTGTTGGCTGATGTTATGAGTTCCTGGCATCCTCCCAACTGGTTGGATTTACCACTGTGTTACTTCACTTCTGGAACTCCTTATCTTACCCTGCCGGATTTATTATCTTATCTTGCCTTGCTGAATCCATAGTTTAAAGTTTTCAGTTTAAAACTTTTGAATTGGAATATCTGCAGCCAAAGGCTGTTGCAGGTTCGGAGGAGAGTTTTTCTCCAGACCGGATGGTAACCGGGACACTGGAGGCAAAGTTGGAGCTAATAAAGGGACCCAGACTTATTCTCTAACTGTGTTGCCTTTGTGCCACGCCCCAGGTCATCACGGAAGGTGGGAGGGAGGGAGGGAGGGAAGGAAGGAAGGAAGGAAGGAAGGAAGGACAGACATTGGGGTCCCTGGTATTCTCTGAACGTGGTTTCCTTGCAAACATTTTATGACCCAACTAGTGAATGTCATTACGGGAGGGAGGGAGGAAGGAAGGATGGAAGGAAAGGATTGGGGTCCTTGGTGTTTCTTGCAGACATTTCATGACCCAACTAGGGAACATCATCAATGGTAGAAGAGGAGAATAGGAGGAGGAGGGGGAGGAGACTGAGGTTGTTGGTGCTCTCTGAACTTGACTGTTTCCTTACAGACATTTCATGACCCAACTAGGGAACATTATCATTGCTAGAAGGGAAGTGGGGTGGTTTATACGCAGTGGCTTGCCCTGTCGGGGAGCCCAAGTAGCACGACAGAATGGCTTTCGGGAGAATCAGCCTGCTCCCTACCACAGCATCCCAGAGGGACTCACCTGACAGCATCCCAGCGCTGCTCACAGGTGTGCTGCTCCCTGGAAGGCTGGCCGAATTCATCCGAGCCTGGTCCTTCACAATTGGGTCTGGAAAGACGAGAAAGACAAGACGATGACCCCTGGCGTGGGCTTCGGGCGTTTGTCAAGTGAGCTCTGCCCCCCCCCCCCCATGTTATGACCTTTCCCAGCCACAGTTGTTAAGTGGATCGCTGCAGGTCATCAGTTTAGAAACCCGTTTGTTGAGTGAATCGGGCTTCCCCGTGGACTTTGCTGGTTTAGGTCGTCGCAAAAGGGGGAATCACGTGACCTCAGGAGACTGCAACCGTCATAAATGTGAGTTTTGGTGACCAAAAATGTCTGAATTTTGATCACCTAACCAAGGTCGTAAGTGTGAAAAATTGTCGTAAGTCATTCTTTGCAGTGCTGTTGTAACTTTGAACTGTCACTGAATGAACTGTCAAGACAAGGACCTATCTGTATTTAGTGCAGCCTTCCAGAACCCTCCAAATATGAGGGACTACAAATGCCAACATCCTTAGCCAACTCACCGACTAACAATCCTGTAGTTTAATACATTTAGAGGGCCTCAACTCCTATTCTTTTCCTAAACTTGGCAATTTTTAAGATATGTGGACTTCAACTCCCAGATGTCAGGATTCCGGCAGTTACTCCAATTAAATCATGAGCTTCAAACCACATTCCCAAAACTAAAATAAATTAGAAGTTAACATTCCGGCATTAATGCCGACTCAGAGATACGTAATTCACCGTCACCCTTGATCCTGCTTTCCCCACCCCCAACCCCTCTGGGTGTATCATCCAACGAAACACATTCATAGCCCAGAGTCATCCATCATGTTCTCCAATTAGATTTTTTTGCATAGCAGAAGCTTCAGCCATCTCATCGGTCTTTGAAGAAAATATGAATGGAATCTCCTTTCGATTCCACACTGCCACCTGATCTGTGAAACTCCCCCCCCCCCTTCTTTCTTTCTTTAATCAACTATAAAACGTGTATACAAAATGTTTTATGAGTTGACACCAGAATTCCCTAGCCAGCTTGGCAACTGTTATGGCCTGTTGGCTGCGGGCCCCTCCAGCAGCCAGATCGGAGGAGGTGATGTGGGAATCAAGGCCAACATCAGGGCAACCTGAGAGCTCCGAGGGGGGAAGAGGGAATGGATTTGGCTGAGAGAGACAGAGAGATAGAGACAGAGAGAGAGAGACAAACACTGAGGCGGAGCCTAAGCCGTCCGTCAGCCCTCAGATTGGGAGTCAACAGTCCCCAGGACTGGAAGTGGCTGATGAGGAAGAGGAGGAACAGCCGGGTCCAGTGCCTGACACATGGATGAGCAGAAGGCAGAGGAGAGGAGAGCAGTGGAAATCTATGGGCCGGTCCTTGGGACGGAGGAGCCACTGCTGCTAGTGAAGCCCCACCCTAGCTCTGGGGATAAAAGGCAGGGGGCGGGGATGAATAGATGTGGCAGACAACTGCTGGACAGATTTGTTAGCCTAGACAGAGAGAGACCTTTTGCCAGGACTGCCGGTGCTCCTAATAAAAGGGAACATTTACCGTATTTTTCGGTGTATATGACGCATTTTTTCCCAAGTGGACGGAAACGTCTGTGCGTCTTACACAGCTAATGTTGCCAAAGCCCCACCCTCCCGCCAGCCCCCACCCTCCTTTAGCCTCTGCCTCCCAGCCATTTGCCTCCTTGCAGCAAACAACCTGGTTTCTCAACCTCAGCTTCAGCACAGCCTGCTTAGCCCAAGCAGCTGACTGTCGGTTGGATCAGCCTCCCGACGATCAGCTGTTCCAAGCTGCAGGTTTCCTGCTGGGTTTTTCAGTCTGCCCGCTTGACTCGGCCTTCCCGAGAACCAGACTCACAGAAGTAAGGGTGCTCCATGGCTTCTCTGGCGGTCAGTCTGGACTGGTGATCGTATCGCAACAACTTGTCCAAGAAATCTAAGGCTTCGGGGCTGACCAAGTGCTGGTTCTCACTGTGGACGAAACGTTCCCATCGTTTCCGTGAGTGCCTGCGAGAGAGAGAGAAGGAAGAAACGCAACTGCTTTAACTCAGGTAGGCGCATCACTGTCTATTTGATTTGTATCGCCGCCTATTCGCCATGGCGACTCTATTCATCGAAACTGTATTATTATTTAAGGAAATTTACCTGGCCGCTCAAGTCACCCAAGATCAGGGGTCCTTGGTGGTTTCTGAGCCTGGTTGTTTCCTTGCAGGTGTTTCATTACCCAACTAAGGAACACCATCAGTGCTAGAAGGGAGTGGGGTTTGCTGTCAGTCCCTTCTAGCACTGATGATGTTAGGAACCCTCATTTCAACCCTTGGCTGCAAATATTCTCCTTTATTGGTATTCTGGGCAGCTTACAAAAATAAAACCCCACATTTTTCAAGCCCCAATAAATACACACACAGACACACACAAAAATACAAACACAGAGAGATAGAGTGAGAGAGACAATCAAACCAGCCACTTGATGATCTCTGTGTCCCCAGGCCCATTTTTCAAAACCAGGATCCCAAAGATAATGTTCTAAAAGTCAACTGTCAATCAGGATATTCGGGAAGTTCAAACGAGTATAAAGGATTATTGCTAGCTTAAATTTGCTACAAGAATCTCAGCTTCTAACGGTCAAGGGAAATGAGTGGAAACTAAGAAGGCATTCCAGGCGGGCTGGACTTAGATCTCTTGTGGGAACGCAGGGATTCGTGGCTTATGACGTGTTTGACACCCCCGTCTCTCCTTGGGCTCAGCTTGGTCATCTCCTACAGCAACTGGACTTTCTTGGATTTTCCATTCCCCTCCCTTCCTCTAACACAGTGGCCCCCAACCTTTTTGGTGCCACGGCCCGGTACCGGCATCATCTGCGGCCCGGTACCGGCATCATCTGCGGCCCGGTACCAGCATCAGCACACATGACAAGGCGAGCCGAGCGACCGGCCAGCCAGCCGTCCCCCGCTTCTCCCCGCCACCTTCAACTCCTCCTTTGTACCTTTGTCGATGGGCTTCGCTTCGGGACGGTCGCTCGGCTCGCCTTGCCTCGGGTGCTGAAAGAATCCTCGCGCCTTAGTTTCATTCGAAGCCCTCCCCACTTCGATGAAACTAAGGCGCGAGGATTCCTTCAGGACCCAAACGCCGCTTTCCAACCGGAAAAGCTCACCCGGAAGCACTTTCTCGTCAAACAAGATGGTGGCACCCAGCAAACCGGCATCCCGGTACGAAATGTTCCACGGGCCGGTACCGGTCCGTGGCCCGGTGGTTGGGGACCCCTGCTCTAACACACCCATCCACACAGAGACATAATTTGTGGGACGTGTTTGGCTCTCAATCCATTCCACCCTACCTGCCCAGGATGTCATTGAAACGGGGGTCCAGCTCAATGTTGTATTTGTCAATATAGTCGTATAGGTCTTCTGTTCCCAAGACTTTGGCTATTCTCACCAACTGCGGACAGACAACGGGAGATAGTGGATGCAATGATTAAAAAAAAATTCAATACAGATAATCCTCGACTTACGACAGTTCGTTTAGTGACTATTCAAAGTTACAACGGCACGGGAAAAAAAAGCAACTTATGGCTGTTTTTCTCACTTACAACCGTTGCAGCATCCCCGTGGTCATGTGATCAAAATTCAGACGCTTGGCAACTCATGCCGGAACCGATCTTCTGGAAACTTCCCTCTAGCCGTGTGTGTGCTATAGCTATTATGATCCTATGACCCTGCTATATCCATCCGTCCATCTCTATATCTCTATGTCTGTCTGTCCGTATTTATCATGTATCTATCCATCCATCTATCATCTATATTTATTATCTATATATCTACCTACCTACCTATCTATATCTATCTACCGTATCTACCCTATCTATCTATCTCTACTGCATCTATCTACTTATCTATCTCTATCATATCTATCTCTATCATATCTACCATATCTATCTATATTGTATCTATCAAATCTATCAATCTATCATCTATATCTACTCTAGCTACTCTATCTATCTCTACCTACTGCATATCTCTCTCTCATCTCTCTCTCTAGCTTATCTACCATATTTACCATCCTACCTACCTATCTATATCGTATCTATCAATCTATCTATATCTACCGTATCTACCCTCTCTATCTTTACTGCATCTATCTAATCTCTCTATCGTATCTATCTCTAGTGTATCTACCATATCTATCTATCTATCTATCTATCTATCTATCTATCTATCTATCTATCTATCTATCCTGTATCTATCTATCATCATCACCTATCTATATCTATCATCTATCTATATTTATCATTTATCAGCTACGTATATCTATCAGCTATCTCCTATCTATCTATCAATCAGTATCATCCATCCATCCTCATGAAGGTGGACTCCAGCACGAGTCCGAAAGCTCAGAAGACAAAACTTCCGGTCCTGATGACTAACCCAGATTGGATTCTACAATATACCTGCCTGAGTGAGCCAGGCCACTAAGCCAATTCTCACCGTTTCAATGGCCAGAAGCTGAATTGTGAATTTGAAGGGACCCCAAAACAGCGCCCTGAAATGAGCATGTTTGGCTAACAGGGGACTTGTAGACCCCCATTCAAAGGCTGCACAGACAAGGGAAGAGGGGGTCAGGGTTAAACAACCTACCAGGAGGACATGCCATGGGTCTACCTGGGCATCTACCCGTCTGCCCATACCTGACCTCTTGCGGAAGGTGCAGGCTGCGAGGTTTTGCTCCCCGGACTCTTCTCACCTGATCGTAATTGTCGTGACCGTGGAAAAAGGGCTCCTTTCGGAAGATCATGCTGGCGAGCATGCACCCTAAACTCCACATGTCCAGGCTGTAGTCGTACATCTATGAGAAAGGGAAGGAAATTAGCACGGCGCGCTCGCAGACTGACAAGGGAAAGACCCAACCAGCACGGGCGGTGTTCGCTTGGAAAAGTTGGACTGCATCACACAATAAAAAACCTCTGTGACTCTTATGCTTAGTCAGAGATATAATTAAATACAGTGAATGTCCAGCGATGTTTTCTGTGATGACCCAGGGTGGGATACAAAATAAGGCAAGTCCCAAAAACAGGTGAAGCCCCTTTTATTCCTTCACTTTGCTTCAAAACTCCAAATATCCTTGACTGGAGACAAAAAACACCCCCAAAAGCAATTATGGAAAGGAGGAAATGCCATTTAAACTAAAAATATAAATTAAAAAGAGTAAAAACAACACAAACCACACTGAAACAATTAAGGGAGCCAGGCAAGATAAGGGCTTGAAGATGTCCACAGATATCGGAACACACACTGGGAAGGATACCAAACTCAAGAGAGGAACCATAAACTAGAGATATTTCCATGCTTTGTTTCCAGCACTGGCCCATACGCATGTCCGTCCTTTTAACCAGTTCTCACAGCTGCAGCCCATGAAGGGGATCAAGGCCCTTTCCTCCCCCGTAGACCATTCCATTCTCTTCTCCCCCTTGTTCTCTCCTCCCTGTGTGCCCTAGGATGGAGAGGGGATGGGCCTGGGTCCTCCTCTGACTGCCCAGCCGGCCTCTGCCCTTCCCCAGCCTCCTCCACAACCTCTGGAGCCACACTTCCACTCCCTGTCGGCTGCCACCCTCCTCTCCCTCGGAGTCAGTCTCCACCAGGGGCATGACATTTCCTTTCATTCTTTCTTTTCCTTTCTCTTTTCCTTCCTCCTTTCCTCTATCCATCCACCCATAATGTCTGTCTAATCTATCATCCGTCTGTCTGTCTCAATCTGTGAGTGAGCCTGCCTGCCTGCCTGCCTGCCTGCCTGCCTATCTATCTATTTATCTATCTATCTATCTATCTATCATCTATCTATCTGTCTGTCTGTCTGTCTGTCTATCTATCATCTCTATCTATCATCTCTATCATCTCTCTAGCTCTATCTCCTTCCATTCATACCTCTCTCTCCTATCTCTATATCATCTATCATCTATCTATCTATCTATCTATCTATCTATCTATCTATCTATCTATC